AAAGGGCTATCCTCACTTTGCTTGGTATATTCCCACAGGAAAAAGCTGAAGGTAACAAAGGGGAATTTAAGTATAAAGCAAAACTTAAAAGGGATTTCTTAATATAAATGTGTTTTCAAAACACCTAAGATATTTACAAACTTTTAAAAGATATCTTATTTTTTAAAAGATATTTTATTTAACAAATTTTACAATGCTTGCTATATGCCAGACATAGTTCAAACCATTTTACATATTAATTCATTCAGCGTTCATAACTACCTCAGGGGTAGGTGTCATTATTCCAGCTTATATTTGGGGAAACTGAGGTATAAAGAAGCTATACAATTTGCTAAAAGCCATATAGATATGTGGGTGACTTTTAGCCCAGGCATTGTAGTGGGAACAGAAAATTATTATCCAACAATTAGTGGAGAAGACAGCCTGTCTAACATGTCTACTTTTGATGAAGGGCTCAGATATTCCAGGGATTTAAAACTGAGATGACTCAGCAAAACTACACCCCTCCCATGAACAGATGGGATACTAAATCCTTCTTCCCAGGTGACCTTTTGGGAACTGCCTCACTGGGGTCTCCATAAGATAGTTCTCACTGGGTCACCTTCCCTTCCTTGATTTCTTTCTTTTTGAAAAACATTTGAGGAGCATCAACCATGTGCCAGGTTTACAGTGCTAGGTGTGGGGGACACCAAGATAAATATAGCATGTTCCAGGCTCCAGGAATCTAGTGGGGAAAGTGAACAAATGAGCCAACAGTCACATTCACACTGAAGAAAGGACTCCCAAGGCTATCTCTGCCTTTCTTTGCAGAAGCCAGCCTCACTCTCTCTCCACTGGGAACAGAAGCCAGTGCTTTCATTTATAGAAGAGGCAACTGCCACGAACTGCCTACTGACCAAGTGGAGTTGCTTGTGTTTTCTTTGCCTGCTTCCTCCATCATCTTTTCCTCTCTTGCCCTTTCTCCATTCTTTGAACTTGTCTTCCTTCCCTTCTTCTATCCTTTTTTCTCTTTGTCACCACAGACCTTTCAGGTCTTCCCCCAAGCACTCATTCTCTGAGCCCACACATCTTGGGAAACCCTGACCCAGATTCGTCAAGCTTGCAACAGGTTATGTTGCCTTGTGACACTGGCATTTCCTGTCACTAGAGTGCACTGAACATCGCACCCAACAGGTTCCCTTATTCCAAAGCAGTTTGATTGGGGCTGCTAAGATCAGGAACATGTCATAGAGAAAGAGATCAGAGCGGGTACCAGAGGTGAGGGACAGCAAAATCTGAGGACCAGGAGGTGGGTACCTTCCTGCTCTCAGCCTCTCGAGCACCGAAGATACACGAGACCTTCCTTGAATAGAGTCCAGGGTGTTCCTGGGAAAAGCACAGCCAGAGGGGCTGGAGAGACTGCAGTTTGGGTTCTGAGATAAGGGACTCAGGAAGGAGAGAGTGAGGGAGGTGAACAGATACCCTCCTGTGAATACTGCTTGCTGCCCATTAATAAGCCTGCAAAAAAGGCATCTTTAGGAGACATCAAAAGAATGCTCTTGTTTCTCTTCCATTAACTCCATTATCCTAGTCCACCTCCCCCCAGGAGACTTCCAGTACTGTCGTTTTAGGAATTCAGTTTCTTCTGGGTCTGGCAGTGGTGGTGTTTTATGTTCTTAATGCCTTGGAAGGCAGAGAAGCCAGATGGTTCTGTCTCCTTGTTCATGCCCCGCCCTTGTCCCACTACAGGGTCTTTGCCTTCTTCCTTTGTTTGTTTTTCTCCCCAGAAATTCACCCACAAAGCATGTGTTGGGTTTAGACTTTGGGCAAAGTTCTCTGATGGCTGCTGTAGAGGAGAGACAAACATGACATACTCAGTGCTTTTAGGAACTTGCAGTTCGTGGAGGAAACACACTAAATGTGATGTAATAAAATAGACACATAAGAGATTTTTATTATTTATTTATTTTTGTGGTACTGGGGATTGAACCCAGGGCCAAGTGCTTGCTAGGTAAGTGCTCTACCATTTGAGCTATACTTCCCACCCCTTTTGTATTTATGTATTCAATTTATTTACGATAGGGTCCTGTTAACTTTGTCCTTGCTGGCCTTGAACTTGTTATCTTCCTACCTCCATTTTCCAAGTAGTTGTGGTTACAGGCTTGCATCATTACGCCTGGCTCAGACTCACAAGAGATTTTATGCAGTATGCATGGCGTTTTCTCTTTGCTATTTCCAAAGCAATGTTTGTTTTTGTTTTTGTTATTTTGTTTTTTTAAAAAACATGCTCCCTACATCTGGTGCTTTTTGCCAGGTTGATCTTTTAAGGAAAGAGGGTTTGGGACACATCAGGAGATAGGAACAAATCTTCGTCATGAGGATGAACACCTCCAGTCCCGAGATTTTCAATCAGCAGAGAACATATTCTGGTGTCACAATCAGGCCTGGCTCCAGTCCACACCATAAGGCTAGTAGCGACATGGCCTACTGATGGCAGTGGAGGCGATGTTTACTTCTCCAGGATTCCTTGCACAATTTACTGCCCTTTCTTCAAGAGCATAACTAAGAGTGTGCCAAAAGTCAACGGCACGCTCATCCCTTTAGAAATTGCATCACTGGGTTAGCTCGTCTTGGGAGGAAGCTTTACAGGAAAGAAGCTGGTAGTACTACAAATTTGGAGACAATTTTTTTTTTTTGGGTAGGTAGCCATGGTGCTGGGCACATAGTTTTAAAACTAAGTTATAACTAAGGAAAATTTGGGGTAGACTGTCCACCTTTTTAATCATGCCTAGTATGGCTTACAAAGTCATTCGAGGCAAAATGCATAATAGAAGCCTCTATACTGTTAAGTCCAAAACCTAGACCCAAAGCATCCTTTCTCATTCAACCAGGGGATTTGTTAGTTTTAGTTGTGGATGCTTTTGGGAAAGGCTGAAGAGAGAATGTGTGCTCCACTTGAGTCTTGAAGAGTGAATAATTCACAAAGTGCACAAGTAGGGAAAGTCTAGATGGAAGGGTGGATGTGTGAAAAGGCCGGCTGGTGGGACCGAGGTCTCAAAGCAGATAGGGTGAGAAGGTTGAATGCATCACTGGGTTGCCAGCATGAGGTTCCCCATCAAGGAGAAGTAAAGCCCAGCCACAGGATCCCCAGGGGTAGGGAGAAGTCTAGGGTCTCAGGTGTCTCCTCCATCCACTAGGGTGAGTGTTCCTGGGACAGAAAGCTATATGGGGAGACCACAGGAGAGCCTGTTACCAATGCAAGTTGGGCAGAAGACATGGTTGGAAGGCAGAAGAATCTAGAAACAACTCTGATGGCTTCTGCAGTCTCCCTTCTTTGGGTGCTTCACTTCCCCAGGCCCTACCTCCCTAGCCCAAGACTATAATCTCAGAGGACTTGCCTTGGGAGTTATTTCTCTTTTATTAAGGTACCATTTGGACAGCAAACAGCACACACAGAAACTACAAACCCACACAGAATAAATTTTGACATTTAGAAGTAGACATCAGGAGAAGCTGTGCTGCCAGGAGGTCCAGAAGCTGGAGGGTTGAGAGCTATCAGCAGACTCAAGAGTCTAGATAAATCTGAGGGACATTTACTGACAAATACCCACTCCCTAAGGCCCAAACTCCTTCCCAAAAATCTATGAACATCCCCAGATGTGGCAAGGTTATGGAGGCGGAGGACAGCCTGTAAATTACAACCGGCTCAGCCACAAGTAAAGTGGACCCAGCTGTGCTCTCCCTGTGGCTTTGGCGGTAGATGAGTTCCTGGCACTCATCCTTTACCAGCTCCTTGGTTTCTTTGGAGGTGCAGGTGTGCCCCAGCAGCAGGAAGTGCAGACCTGTTCTAGGTTTGTTTTCCTGGACTGCACTACCTTTGCTTTCCTGTCTGCTGAGCCGAGCCCGCCACTCCCAGGAGAGTAAGTGAAGAGATGCGTCCCCAGGAAATTCAACGTGGAGGCCACCAGCTGTGTGCAAATTCTCCATCATCCACTCTCCATCAGTGTGATGTTGGGGAAGTGACCTCATTTCTCTAGGTCTCATAGTCCCCATCCGTAAAAAAATGACAGCGTGTGCTGTGTAATGAGTTACTGCCAAGTACCAAACCAGACTCAAGAGAAATGTTCACAGCCTGCTTTCTTTCTTGACTTTTTTGTCACCCATTTCTTCCTTTCCATTTCCCCATTCTGTTTCCAGGTCTGTGTGTCTTTGGTGGTCATGCAATCTCAATGGCACTAAATGTACCTCTTGACATCAAGGTCTTCCCACCCTGTTATATCCTGATATGTGCTTCCCTCAGGACTCTGCTTCTTCACTGGGAGATGGGCCTTGAGTACTATCTGAGCCCACAAGAGAGACCTAGGTAGCCATGGGCACACAGACACCGGAATATCTTGGGGATGATGTTGAGTGAGGTGCTGTGATGGTGGATGGGCAAGAAGAAGAAATAGTAGGGTAGAGGGGCCCCTGCTAGGTCTGTCCAGAAGTTAGAGCCCAAGACTGGTGCTATTTACAACCTTCAGCAGAAAGAAAATTACCCTTTCCAGGAGTGGTAGGACCAAGGATATAGGAGAATTGAGGTCTGTCCTCTGAAAGTCTAGTTCAGTGGCTCATAGTCTACCATGTAGTAGGTTCTGCAGAAATCCCCTATCCTTCTCTCCATCTTCCTGTCCATCCAGCTGGCTCTCTGGTATACATTAAGAGTTTCATGGAATACAGGCTGATCTGGGTGGAAAGCTCTTATAACCCATTTATTTAAGGAATCAGTGCCTTTTATAGTCACTCGACTGGAGTCTTTGACAGAAATCCTGTGAGGTAGTAGCAAGACAGGCAATACCTCACTTTTTGTACACCAAAAAGTGCTCAGAGTAACAAGATGAGCACAGCTGAGACAATGTCAGTATTGGTCAAGCACAGGGTGCTGGTATGCTCTCCCAAGGACATACTCTGCCTCTCCCCTGCAGGCCTTGGTTTGGCTGGACCTGGACTGCCTTCTCAGTCCAGACCAACGGGGCTGCTTTTCAAACCAGTGTGGGTTTCAAGTCATCTTTGAAGTTCACAATGGGCTTGGAGCGGGCCCATAGCTTTTCCCAGGAGCCCAGCCCTCTGGCAGGGTCAGGGTCAGTGTCTGATGTGCCACTGTCACTGGAGTCAGAGGAGCTCTGGAAGCAGATTTCACAGTAGGGTCGGTGGCAGTGGCAGAAGAACTCATCTGAGCTGCTGGATTCAGTGTCAAGGTAGTTGCACTGAGAAGACAAGGAGGGACAGATGGGGGCTCCAGGGGGCTGAAGCTGCCACCGTCTAGGCAGGTCTGGTGAAGGGAGTAGGTGTGGGATGGTGGAACTTTGTGCCTGGGCAGAAACAGAAGGCCGGGGAGGAAAAGCTGTAAGGCACTCTCTGACCCCCTGAGGCTCTGTATGACATTGCTTGCTGCCCCTCAGAGTGCCTGGCCTCCCTTGATGGTCTGTAGGTGGTGAGGGTTTTCTGGAAGACTGCCTTGGTATCTCAGCATCTAGCCTGGGGCTATCCCCACTTTGCACATTCAGCCCATTGTGTGCCCCAAAAGTGGTTCTACCTGCATGATGCCCCACATAGTAAGGCACAGAGGAAGAGAGGTGTGAGCAAGTGTGCTGGGCTGCCCGTCTCCTCCTCACCACATGTGGGCTGAAGCCCAGCTCCTTGGAAAAGAGCAGCTTCTGGTGGCTGCGGGAGGCACTGCTCTTCCAGGGCTGCTGGGGAGAAGATGGGGTAGTGGAGAGGGATGCCTCAGGACCCAGGTCCAGCTCTTGTAAGACTTCCCGAAGCTTCTCTCTGACCACTGAACTGACCCGAGGTAGCCTCTCTGGGGGTTCCTCTGAGCTCTGCCTCTGTTCCTGGGCCCTTCTGCTGGGAATGAAAGTCTGGCTGAGGACCATGGGTCCTTGGTCTTGTCTCTTTGGGCTGTGGCTTTGTTCAGCCTGTGACTTCTGGCTACAACCTGAGTTTAAATGATCAGAAAAGCCTTTCAAGTCAGATATCTTCTCCTTTTGGCCTGGGGAGGGGCTGGCATTCCTCTCAGGTGTGCTGGGGCTGTGCACACATGGGAAAGGTCCTGAGGTGCCTGGGTAGTCTGCAGCAGCCACATGGATATCATTCTGAGAGACACAGGGGTATCCCGAAGGTTCCTGATCTGCCAGCCCATAGGCTGAGGCTGAAGTTGGGACACCCTTGCCATGGGAAGAGGTGGGTGGGACTACCCACTCTGGGGAGTCATAGGTGCACTCAGCAGCCATCAGTCTCACTAGTTTCTCTTTGGCATTGTTTACTTGTTCCTGCAGGCTTTCAATCACAGCATTTTTCTGTAAAATACAAGCACAACCATCAACCAAAGATGTGGCTAAGGGTTCCATACTGCCTCCTAAGGTGGAGAAAAGAGGCATCAGAGAAGACCTTGGTTTAAATTCCAGTTCTTCTAACATCTGCCCGGTGACCTCAGGCTGAGGCGACCTCAACCTCGTGCAATGAGTCGGTGCACACAAAGCACTTAGCACAGTTAACGGGCAGATGGTGCTCAATAAAGGCTACTGCACTGAATAGCTGCTGTGCCCTTCTTCCCCCTGCCAATTCCCAGGCTGTGGCACTGTCTGTGAGGAGGGAAGAGGCCCAACCTAGCTGCTTGCTGGTGGCTTCAGCGTCTTCTCACCTTCCCCAGCACCAAGAGGGTCAGGGCACTCTGTAGTATGCCAGCTCGAAGAGTGTTTAGGATTGTCCAAATGTGGGTCTCTCACACTTTTGTAAACTACAGATGAATATGAAGCACATCTCCGAGGGATAAAAAATGGAGAAACAAAGCTGGGCGCTGGTGGCTCACACCTGTAACCCTAGCTACTTGGGAGGCAGAGATAGGAGGATTGCAATTCAAGGTCAACCTGGGCATATAATATTCGAGAACTTACCTTGAAAATACCCAGTGGGAAAAAAAAGGACCACTGGAGTGGCTCAAGTGGTTGAGCACCTGCCTAGCAAGCATGAGCTTTGAGTTCAAACTCTAGTACCAGCCCCTGCCAAAAAAATGGGGAAACAAGTATTTTGCCTGTTGCTAAACAGTCTGGGAAATGGCAAGAATGCAGAGAAGGGTGGAGATTCCAGACAAATTGGATGGAGCCAGGAGGAGCCAATAAGAATCTGGGATTGGTACTATCACGTCCCTAGGCTGGACCTCTGGGGTGAGAGGCCAAAGTTACCATGAGGCAATATCAGTTGTCAGTATCTACCAAAGAAGTGTGCACATCAGAATTATTATAGAAGCTTAACAGGAAACAAAAGCAAGAATTGGCAAGTAGGATTACATCAAAATAAAAGGCTTCTGCACAGCAAAGGAAGCATCAGCAAAGAGACAAAACCAACAGAAGGGGAGAAAATATATGTCAGCTATTCATTGAACAGAGGACAACATCCAAAATATATAAAGAACTCAAAATACTCAACAACAACAAAAGGAATGGAATCCAACTAAAAATGGGCAATGATCATCAGAAAAAGAAGGAATGTAAATGGCAAACAAATATATGAAAAATGCAAATCAAAGCTACATTAAGATTCCATTTCTCCCCAGTTAGAATGGCTGTTATCAAAAAAAAAAATGCCGGTGAGGATGTGGAGAAAAACCCTTATACATTATTGGCAGGAATGTAAATTAGTCCAGCCACTGTAGAAATGAGTATGGAGCTCATTCAAAAACCTAAAAGTAGAACTATCAGATGATCCAGCTATCCTACTCCTGGGTAGATATCTGAAGGAAATGAAGTCAGCATACAAAGAGATACCTGCATGTCCATGTTTATTGCAGCACTATTCATCATAGTTAAGATAAAGAATCAGCCAGGTGTCTATCAACAGATGACTGAATAAAAAAGATATGGTATATGTACACAATGGAGTATTATTCAGTCATAAAGAATGAAATCCCGTCATCTGCAGGAAAATGGATGTAACAGAAAGACAAGCATTGAATGTTTTCTGACATGTGTGGACACTTACAAAATGACTTGTAAGTAGAAGAGGGACTACTGGGGAGTAGGAAGAGGACTGGAGGAAATAGGGAGAGAGGTGATAGGGGAGAGTATAGAAGAAGGATGAATGGACATGATCAATGCACATATATGCATGTATGGAAATGTCACAGCAAATCCCATTAATCTGTATAATTAATGTGTGATGATTTTATAAAAAGGAATTATTGTAGAAGCTTAAAACAAACAAACAAAAAAGGATTACTGGGGCTATGTCCCTGATAGCTTGATTCAGTAGTTCTAGAATGGAGCCCAGAAGATGAATGAGGCTGGAGCGGTTCTGCAACTCAAGTGTGTGGATGTCAGTGGATAAACAGGTCATGCCCTGAAGAGCTGGCAGGTGACAGCTGCAGAGGTGTGCCCACCCTAAGTGTAAGCTTATAGGGCAGGAAGCAGGAGAGCTGGGAGCAGGTGGGCAGGGCATGAGCACACTCTGGCCATCTTTCTGGAGTGCAGCAGTGGGTTGTCTAGCTCAGATTCTGTGTCCACCTTCAGAGAGTTCTGATGCTCAAAGAGAGAGGAGCAGGGATCGATCCTTGTGGGTAACAGATGGTCTTGGGCAGATGACACAGGACCAAGGGTGTGGGGACAGCAATATCACAAGCACATCCATATAGGAAGGGGCTTGTCAGGATACCAAATGCTGCCTCTTGAAGAAATTCAAATGGCCAAAAAACACATGAAAAAATGCTCACCATCTCTAGCAAGAAAGGAAATGCAAATTAAAACCACACTAAGATTCCACCTCACCCCTGTTCGAATAGCCATCATTAGCAACACCATCAGCAACAGGTGTTGGCGAGGATGCGGGGAAAAAGGAACCCTCTTACACTGCTGGTGGGAATGTAAACTAGTACAACCACTCTGGAAAAAAATTTGGAGGCTACTTAAAAAGCTAGACATTGATCTACCATTTGATCCAGCAATACCACTCTTGGGGACATACCCAAAAGACTGTGACACAGGTTACTCCAGAGGCACCTGCACACCCATGTTTACTGCAGCACTATTCACAATAGCCAAGTTATGGAAACAGCCAAGATGTCCCACTACTGATGAACGGATCAAGAAAATGTGGTATCTATACACAATGGAATTTTATGCAGCCATGAAGAAGAACGACATGTTATCATTCACAGATAAATGGATGGAATTGGAGAACATCATCCTGAGTGAGGTTAGACTGGCCCAAAAGACCAAAAATCGTATGTTCTCCCTCATATGTGGACATTAGATCAAGGGCAAACACAACAACGGGATTGGACTTTGAGCACATGATAAAAGCTTTAGCACACAAGGGAGGGGTGAGGATAGGTAAGACACCTACAAAATTAGCTAGCATTTGTTGCCCTCAACACAGAGAAACTAAAGCAGATACTTTAAAGCAACTGAGGCCAATAGGAGAAGGGGACCAGGAACTAGAGAAAAGGTTAGATCAAGAAGAATTAACCTAGAAGGTAACACCCACGCACAGGAAATTAATGTGAGTCAACTCCCTGTATAGCTATCCTTATCTCAACCAGCAAAAACCCTTGGTCCTTCCTATTATGGCTTATACTCTCTCTTCAACAAAATTAGAGATAAGGGCAAAATAGTTTCTGCCGGGTATCGAGGGGGTGGGGGGAAGAGGGAGGGGGTGGAGTGGGTGGTAAGGGAGAGGGTGGGAGAAGGGGGAGAAATGACCCAAGCATTGTATGCACATATGAATAATAAAAAAAGAAAAAAAATGCTGCCTCTTTCTGGCCACCTTTTCTGGAAGATGAGTATGAGTTCTGGGATACACATTTATCATGCTCTAGAAACAAAAGTGTTCCCTGCTTTCAAATAATAATACAAATTGCCTGTGGCCTGAGCCGGTGGTAACTTCTCAAGTTTAGATGCAAGAGTTGCCCAGAATGTCTGTTAATGGGTCACTAACTTAACTAAATAGTCCAGTATTGTGGCAGCACCCACCAGGCAGACCCACCACTTCCTGTGTAGAGCAGTAAGGAGATGTTGGTACTGCTAATTTTGGTACTCCCAGTTTCACCTGGGTTTAGTCTACCACCAGGAGTGAGCCAGGACCAGTTAAGTGACTGGTGAGTCAGATGGAGGGACTTTCAGGGGAGACCTACCTGCCTGTTCTCTCTCTCCCTCCTGGCGCAGGGGTAGGGTCTAGGTGCTGCGGGGTGAGTGGAAAGAAGAGTGGGTGAATAACAGGGGGATCATTCAGGCCCTTCATGATACTTGGAGGTGCCTGATTTGTCTTTAAGGATCATATGACTGTGATGAGTGCACAGGAGAGACCTGACATCTCCTCCTGAAGAGCACTCTGCATGTGATGCTGGCCTCAGGAGGCCTTTACTGCCTCAGTGAGTTAGGAAGAAGCCACCAGCTGATGACACCCCAGTGAGTAAAAATGCCTTCTTCAGCCTTCTCCACCAACTCCTTTGAGTATAGGAAAGTACGGGAGATTGGAAGAGTATTCTTATCCCAGCAAACCAAACATCTGAGGCTGGCTGGCAACAGATTTAGAAACATCAACATAAACAGTCAATCTCCCTTCCTCCAGAAAAGGAAGTGGGACTCTGTTTTCACCATGGCTGCACTCTAATTAGAGGCCTGGTGTGAGGCCCTGCCATCACAAGACCACAATCTGACCTCCTAAGGAAGCTGCTCTCAAATGAGCTTATTAATTATTACTTTGGCACAGTTGGGGAGGCAAAATGTCCACAGGAGGGTTTCATGGGGTGCAGGCCCTAAGGATGCACCCAACCTCTTGCTTCTCTGGAAGGGTTCTGCCTGCTGCCCTCACTCAGACTGGAAGGTCAGTGGTGGATGCTGCCCTAACAGCTTCCAGGGAAGCCTGGATCACAGAGGCCAGAGGGGCAAGAAAGAGAAGGTGGACAGCCCAGATTGTGGGAAAGTAAGAGGAGGCTCCAGGCTACAGAGAGGCTGCAGAAAGGGCTCAGCACATAACTGGGCAGAAGAGGTTATTTGTGCTAATCTACAGGCAGGTTTGGCACTGGAAATGCAGATACTGGGCTCTCTCATGTGCCTGCCCTAGGCCCTAGGACTGTCTGCTTCTTCTCAGAGCTATTCTGGGGAAGATGTTCGAGGTGGAGCAGGTGCTGGAGAGGCAGCCCTCTATGGCCTATGTACCTGTTCCTGTCAGGGCTCTCCCTCTGAAGACTCAAGATATCCTTTTGGATACAGAAGATTTAGCCACTGTGTGGGAAACAGGATTGCATGGCAGAAGTACAAAAAGCACAGCACAAATTACCATAAGGCTAAAGAGCCAGTCTGCCTGGCTGTTCAAGCATTAGCTGATTGTAAATGAAAACCATCCTGGCAGCTTTAGCCAAGTTCCTGGCCTTCTGTTTAGCTGGAAAAATAAAATGCCTCTTTGAAGACGTCACAGAGCATCAAAGGCAATGCTATTCTCTTGCCAGGTGAGGAGAAATCTGGCTTTGAAATGACGTCCTGAATGTATGATAAATAGTAAAGAAATGGAGAAGTTTCTCTGATGGACATAAAGGTTCAGAACTGAGGTTGTGGTGTGGGAGGCTAGAGAACAGGGTCCGTGGGTGCCCAGGGAAGCTTGGCCCTTCATCTGGGTGCTTGTTAGGTCTCCACCAAACCAATATCTCACAGGACTGTTCACACCCAGGGGCCAGTCCCATTGCAAAAACATAGTTTCCCACACAGCACCTACTCAGGTATGTTCTGTATTGAAAAAATATGGAATGTGATTTAGTGCCAAAAAACTGACTAATCCCCCTGGGCCCTGGGCCATCTTCCTGAGGAATGCAACCCTCACGCTTGCCCACGTGCGTGCCTCAAGCCCACGCAATGCTTGTCTGGGAGAGGGGCCAACTCTGGCACACGTACAAAAGAAATGAGGGCTGGGCTGCTTGGATCTGCATTAGTGCTGTGAAGACACTGATAGGCCCTTGCTCAGCCCCTTCCACATTTGTACACATGGCAGGACTTTTCCGGGATGACAAAATGATTGGGATCCCCTTTTAATCCCTGGGGAAGTCAGTGAGGACTCCATGGGATCTTGGACACAGGGGTACTACTCTATGTATATAGAAAAAATGTGTCACATAGATGCTAGCATCCACAGTAACTCAAGGCCTTTCCAGTGCTGTTCCCTCTGAATTTCCCTGTACTCTTTGTCTGGCCAACTTGTACTTAACCTTCAGCTCTCATCTGCAGAGTCTTTTTTGACTGATCTCAGTTAGGTTCCCTAGCCCCTAATGGGTGGTGACCCATTAATCTGATGTACTACCCAGAATTCTTCCTTTATAATTCTTATTAGGATTTATGATTGTATGTTTACTTGATCAATATCTATTTGCTCCACTAGACTGTGAATTCCACAGGGACAGGAACTATGTGTTGTTCGTCAGCACTTAGCACAATGCCCAGCATGCAAGAGTGACTCAATATATACCTGCCCGTGAATGAATGAAGTAGATGAGGGTCACTGGGGAGATGCTGAGGTTTTGCTTGCTACTGGGGAATGTGGGAGAATGGGAGGAAAAGAGAATGTTGGGGGGTGGGGCACAAGAGCCTGTGGGGGCCACCCACACATGGCTGGAGTTCTTTACAGGGAATCCTCCAGTGGGGGGGCACCGCTTACTTCTGTGAGGAGCCTTTCCATGGAGCTCTTCTCCCCCTTTGCGTGGCAGTTCTGCTCCTCACCAAACTGGGTATGGAAGGTTTTGCTGGGAGTGCTGAAATATTTGGCCATGTGTCTGATTGTTTGGTTTTCTCCTTCAAATGCCTTCCATTGCTTCAGCTGTTAGTAAAAAGAACACATGTTATTTATTTAATTACACACCCAGAAACACATTCCCTTGCTCTTTCTCATAAATACCAAGGAATGACACTGTCACAGATACACATATGCATAAACTAGTCTCTCCTCAAAATGTCCTTTGCTCTGCAGGGCCCATAGACAGCAGTGACAGAACGCATAGAGAATGTGAAGGTTATATGGCTTAAAAGTAATCAAGGAAGAAGATGAAGTGGACGAAATTGAACAACTTTGCTTCTCTATCTATCCTTTGCCAAATCGGTCAGAAAAATCATAGAGGACATAGACTTCTAGAGCTGTATTCCGAAGCTAGGGATTAAGAGCTGCCATAGGGGCAGGCATTCTAAACACTGTATGTTTCAAATGAAACTGAAGCTGGGTTTTGTTTTGTTTTTGTTTTGAGACAGGGTCTCACTATGTAGCCCAGGGTGGCCTTGAACTTGAGATCCTCCTGCCTCTGCTTCCCATGTGCTGGGTATGCACCTTCATATCCAACTTGTAGCTGACTTCAATTATTTTTCAGGTGTTGAGTAATGAGGTACTTCCTGTTATTGAGAACCTAGTTCCTTGTTGGTGGCCTTCTAACTCAAATCAACGGCCAAGGCTCAAACAGATAGAAAACCTCAGATGTCAATAAAAATGATAGATCTGACATGTAACCATGGTTTTTCATTAACAAATGAGGAAAGTCTTGAATAGAAGGACTATGACTTGTCTGAGTTCCCAAAGTTAGTTCATGGGCGTCCCACAGCTACCGGCAGTGTGCCAAACCACATGTCCTCACACAGCCAATGGAGAGTGTTGGCCCTGGGTATCCTAGGGATGTTCTTTAGCAGAAACTGGCCTTGAGAATCAATCTGTGGAGGCATGAGCTGGTCCACTTTACCAGGTATGGAGCTGACATAGAACATTTACTGACAGGGTCTGCTCTGAAGCTGCTAGGACACCACACCCACCTGGTGAGTGCCAGAGATGTGGGTGACAGGAGGCTGTAATGGTGGAAGCCTCTCTTTCTGCATAGCTAAGACATGTATGCTGGAGACTCTGGCATGTTAGCTGAAGAAATGATGCTGAGGTATCCCAGGGGCTCCAAGGGAACTGTGGAATTCCTTATTGATTCATCAAACGTTTCCTAAGCAATCCAAATTTCATCAGTCAGGCAGGATTCTCAATCCACCCTCAGGTGTGGCACAACCTTCTCACCCAGGTCTTCTTGGGTCCTCTGCTGACCTGGCTTGTGTCATCAAGCTATCAGGAGTCTGAGTTGTTTTTGCTGGACCAGGTCATGAATCTCCCTCTCAGATCCTTCTCAAAGGCCCCCTTCCTACAGAGTCCCTTAGCAACAGCTACTAGAACTGACATCACAGGGCCATTCCCTAGTCCTGTGTGGAGGGAGCTGACCTGCGAGGGATGTTCTTTATACACTGCCCTGGCAGGGATGAGGTGTTCCTGTTCCCTCTCAGCATCCCCCTCCTTAGCAGTGGTGTTTCCTTTCTAGCCCCTGCACCCCCAGTCTGATCTCTCTCTGCAGGGCTGTAAGCAGTTGCTCACCACACGCATGAGGCACCTTTAGGATTGTGGGTCAGTTTTTCCCTAAGCTGTCCAAGATGCCGTTTGATGAAAGCCCTCCAACCCCAACTTCCCTGCTTGTGAAGTTCCTGGTTCTTCAGACTTGACCCTTTAGGGTTTCTGGCATATAGTTATACATGAGCCTCAGGGCTTGCAGTGCTTCCTCCAGGATAGGCTCGCTCATTCTTGGGCCATGTGGGTGTGGTAGGCTGAGTAACAGCCCCCCTCAGAAATGCTTCCCTGCCTCTGAATCCTGGAACCTACAAATATGTGACCTTACACTGCAAAAGGCAAACGTAACAAGGATTTTGGGATAGGGAGATTGTTCTGGATACAACTCTAGAAGTCTATGTCTTCTATGATTTTTTTCTGACCGATTGGGCAAAGGATAGATAGAGGAGCAAAGTTGTTCAATTTCATCCCCTTCGTCTTCTTCCTTGGGCACTTTTAAGCCATATAACCTAAACATTCTCTATACTTTCTGTCACTGCTGTCTATGGGCCCTGCAAAGCAAAGAACATTTTGAGGAAAGACTAGTTTGTGCATGTGAGTTCAATGTCATCAAAGGAGTCCTTATAAGAGGGAGGCAAGAGGTGTGACAACAGAAACACACTTAGAGGAATGGAGAAAAAGGAAGGGGGAGGGAGAGGGGGAGAGGGGGGAGAGAGAGAGAGGGAGAGAGAGAGAGAGATTGAGGTTGATTTGAAGGGCCACAGTGCTAGCTCAGAGGAGAAGGAAAGGGCAGTGAGCCAAGGAATGCGAGGGTCCTCCGAAAGACGGAAAAGGCAAGGAAATGAATTCTCCCTAGAGAAGGATCTAAAAGGGAGGTTCATGACCTGGTTGTTCTTCTGTTTCCAGAAGAAACACAGATCTCATGACAATTTGATTTTAGTCAAGACCCAGTTCAGATTTCTGACCCCCAGAACTGCAAGATATACATTCATGTTATTTTAAGCTACCACACTTGCAGTGATGTGTTATAGCAGCAACAAGAAGCTAATACAGTGAGATTAAATGAGAAGTCTTCAATAGTTACACCAGGGCTTTCAGAAGCTCTCCATATGTGCCTCTCTTGCCTCCTGCCACACTCTCCTTGTCTCCATTTGTGCTTTAAAAATAGCAAAGACTTGTGATATTCCGAACATACAGACCTAGCATATAGTCTCTTCTACCTCTCTGCCTCTGGTCATAGTGTTATCCCATCTGAAATGCCACCCGCTGTCCTTCCCGGGTCTACTCTTACTAGTGCTTCAAGACTGACCTCCAGCACTCCATTTGCTGGGAGGTGCCACCAAGTTCCCTGCAAGGCTGGGTGTGGCTTCTTCAAAGCACTTAACACATATATTTTAATTCCTCTCATGTTGGCTCCCCACTAGACTTGAGGTGGTAGCTTCACTACCATGTTCCCAGCAGCCAAGAAATGGCTGAAGGGAGTCCTGAGTAAGTGCACGCAGCTGTCCTTTAAAAAGCTGACCAGTCTAGCAGGGCCTGTAAGGCAGAGTGGGAAGTCCTACGTATCCTCTAGGAAGAGGATCACATGAAATGCTTTGGGGGCAGGAGGAGAAAATCTCCAAGCTCAGGGCCCACCTGCCTCTTCAAGGAAGCGGAGGGATGGGGGAGGGGTCACGTTCACGCCACAAAGGCAGGGGCTGGCTGATTGGTGATGATCTCAGTGCTTGGCATAAACACTTAGGCATTTCCTGAGTGCCTGTGTGGAAGCTTCTCGGTCCGTGCTCCTCATAGGCATCCTTTACACTCGGCTCTCCAGCGCCGCCTAGAGGCCCTTTGGGGTATCTGCGCTTTTGCTTTCCCGAACCCCTCCCATCACAGTGGAGTTTGCACACTACCACCTTTGCCTTCTCTGTAGCTCCCCTTGCACGCTTTCCAAGTCACTCAGCTGTCCTGCCATCCTGGTGACACACAGTGCAAGTTTCACAGGGAGATCGTTCTTCTACCAAAGACCTCTCTGAGCCAGAGAGGAAAATCAATTTAGTCACAGCCCTCAGTAATTTTTATATTTTGAAAAATAATTTATCTTCTAAACCTAAAAAAATAGACCATAAAATATATTTTTTAGTTTAGCATTGTGGTCAGTTCAAGAGGAGAAAAAGCATAAGAGAGAAAACAGAAGAGGAGGGATAGAGAGACAGGGAATCTCAAGAAAGCCAGGAGGAAGGACAACACTGTCCATCCACCCAGTTCCTGAACCCAGGATGATCTCCCCACTCCCACTTTAGCAAATCAAGGGCTTGTTGCTTAGTTAGAACCTGGAAGTCAGATTTCAAGCTGTATGCAGAAAGGGGTGTTTCCAGATACACCACTGTCCTAGTTTGAGAATTCAAACACCAGTGGAAGCTGCTGTTCTGTGGCGGAGGCCTAGGTTCAGAGTACAGTGGTGGGAGGGAAGAGGGGAGAGAGGAGAGATGACAGATAACAAGAGCCAGGCGTGGACCTTGCTTCACTCCATCTTAGACATGGACCATGATCAGATGGGGATGGGTTTTTTCCTGATGATTATCTCTGTCTCAAATTATCCTGTGCTTTTCAGAGACTCCAGTTAAGCTCTAAATTGTATACCTTGATCTATTCTGTACTTTCCTATTTAGTCTCAATTTTATCTGCTGTCTTGTTTTATTTTCTTAATTAACTAAGTCAATACTTTGTGGTGTCCTATTGCCTGTTCAATGTTTTTATTGGGACTTAAGATTCAAACCATATTTTCACCCTTATTCAGTATTTCATTATCTTAGGACCATGTCCTTTCGTAAAATGGTTTGCTTTGGTCAAGGAGAGGCATTGAATTCTATTACAAGACAAATTAGATATCTTCTAAAAACTTCTATTTTACTTCAGAGGAAAGCAGCTTCAGCAATTCTTCAGATATCTGGGGTCTGTTTTGCGAACTGCAGGTTTTCTTTATGGATCCCCTTTCCCTGAATTTATAGTCTTACATGGGAAGAGCTAATTTTCCTAGGATAATATATTCTGTTGGTGTATTTCCTTCATGGTGGCAAGATGACTGCCATCACTATAGGCATCACACACATTCAAGGCAAAAGCTTTCCCAGAAAACCTCCAGTGTTCAAACAGTGTCACAGGTGCACCTCGGGCTATAAGGGAGGTTGGCAAAGCAAATGTGTGGGTCTTTCAGCCTATATAGTGGACACAAGCAAGGAAGAAAGGGGTTGTTGGCAGAGACCAGCTAATGAACAATGCTGAGGGGTAGGCTTCTCCCTCCCAGAGCCCTTTTCTGCTACATCCACTCTAAATGGCTTCCTGCAATCTAGTTCTTACAACGTTGAGATCCTGCAAAATATTCTCCATTTTCTGGCACAGTCGCAATACCCATCCTTAGATTCTAATGCTGCTGCAGCAGATTTTTCCATGTTTGTTTATTTTGCTGAGTATGTTTATCAAGAAGTAGTGAACAGAAAGAACGGTAAAGGGCCCGTGCTCGTGCCATGCTGTCATGGCTAAAGCTCTCCCTTCCCTTGCATTGACACTGTAACCCTCCACCTGCCAACCCCAGGAGAAGTGGCTCAGTCACCTGGAAGCTGCCAAGGGAATCAGCTGCTTGAGGGAGGAGAGGATGAGAGAGGCCTTGGGGAATATAGGAGAAGTAGGAGGCAAATAAGGTGCCTAATGCCCCAGTTGTTATGGGGATGGGTGCTGCTCAGGGACCCTCAGGCACAGCATAACCAAGTTCACAAGGCCTTCCTTCCAGAGCCTATGGACTACTCCTTCCCTACGACTTCCTTTCTTCCTCTTTGCTGTCTGGATATTTTTGCTTCTATCTTTTCTTTATTTGATTTTTTTTCTTCTTACTCCCCATAATATGAACCACATTTTTATGTCTCTAAATTTTCCTCCAATAAGAAGAAAGAAAGGTATTTTAAATCATAAAATTCCAAACAGATTTTTCCCTGGGAATTTGCAACCAAAAATTGGGAAGAAGAAAGAAAAGAAGGAAGAAGGGAGAGGGAGAGAGAAGGAGAGAGAGTGAGAGAGAGTGAGAGAGAAGGAGAGAGGGGGAGAGAGAGAGAGAAAGAAAGAAAGGAAAGAAAGAGAGAAAGAAAGAAAGAGAGAAAGAAAGAAAGTCTCCACTCTCCCAGGCTAGGAAAAGAAAGAGATGGAGAGGAATTGGGAAGGAGTGAAGCCAGCTGGAGGGTGGGCAAGGAAGCAGGTATGTGAGGACCTTAAGGGACAGGCACCACTACAGTGGGGCCCCCTCTGGCCTGCTGACCCAGGAGCAGAGCTGTCATTCCCCAGGCTAGTGAGATGGGACAAAGCAGGAGAGTGCCTTTCTCTGACTCTCCAATAATAGCATGGAAAGGTTCCAGTAGAAATCAAGATGATCTGTCATGTCCAGCAAAACCTCTCAGCAATTAAAAGGACTGTCCTCACAGAATTCTCCCTGGAGCGTACCTGGGGAACGAAGATGCAGCAGTTCACTGTGGTAGTGCAAACAAAGATGCCTCCAGATGTGAGTCCAAAAACCAGGTTGGGCCAGGCGTGCAAGTATCGGGTAGCCACAGAAAGCAGCCCAGCAGCGAGCACCAGGAGGTTGACCCCGACCATGATGGCCAAGGACTGGTTCACAGGAGGAGAACTGACGTGGTCGGTCAGGCCAGCCAGGTAGGTACCATACAGCAGCAGCAGCCCCTGGAGACAGAGAGGGGAACCGAGGCGCAGAGGAGTGGAACAGGGCAAAGCAGCAGCCAGGTGCCGTGACCTATGCCTGTAATTGCAGCTACTCAGAAGGCAGAGGTAGGAGGATCAAGAGTTCAAGGCTATAACAGGCAGTTAGTGAGACCCTGCCACAAAAGAACAAGACTCATGCCTGTAATCCTAGCTACTCAGGCGGCAGAGGTAGGAGGATGTCAGCCCCGAAAAAATAATGAGACCCTACCTAGAAAATAAACTACAAGCAAAAGGGCTGGGGGTGTGGCCTAAGTGGTAGAGCACCTGCCTAGCAAGGGTGAGGCCCTGGGTTCAATCCCCACAATGTCCAGAACAAATAAACAAACAACAAAAACTGAAATAACCACACAAAAACCAGGGCACAGCAATATGGTTGGGATCAATGTCCTCTTCTATAAAACCGAGGATTTGCTAAGCTAACACACAGGAAACGCTTAGGGAAGTTCCTTATTCTCAGTAGATACTTAACCTTAGTAGGTACTTAATAAACTTGCTTTCTGCCCCGTCATTAGGAATGAGTTTATCAGCTGTCAGTAAGCCAGCTATGAGACAGGGCTTTTCAGGGGCAAGGCCCAGGATGGGTTCGTATGGGTTCGTAAGGGCCCTACAGAAAGGGGTGGAAGGCACTAGAAGGGCAGGGGCACCGTGAGCTGCTGTGGTTCTGCTCTGCACCAGGCTGAGGGGGCCTGTGGGAGCTGAAAGTGGCCTGGAGTCTACTTGTCAGTCCTGTGCCACAGCAGGGCAGTGCTGAGTGTGTGTGAGGAGTGAGAAGGGGGATTCTAATTTATCCAAAGGCACCATCTGCTTGCCAGCTCTGCGCCTACAAGACCAGCGTTTGCCTCTAAGGGACACAGCTTTCTAACTGACACAAAGCCTTGCCACAGGCTGCCTGAGGCTCTGTGCAGTGGGGCTGTGAGACACGAAAGGTAGAAAAAAAGGAGAACAAAGGCAGCTGCGACCTCGGCAAGATGGAAGGAGGGGCGACATGGTAGCCACTTACATTCCCTGCCTTGGGACCTTCCCTGCCCCCACCATGAGGAAGTCAGGGGCCCTATTTTTTCCCTCGCTTCATGAATACCTACCTGCTCTCAAAGTTCTCACTTGTACTAAGGAGAAAGTAATTCACAGCACCCAGCCCTTCCCAGAAAGGGCTGCATATCCACAGCAATCAAAGCTTTAAATTTAATCAGTAACATGTAACATAAAACCCCACACGTGCTTGTCTTTTGACTTCATGGAGAGTGGCACACTAGGCTAGGGCAGAAAGCATTGCTACAAAGAATGAGTCATGGTCCTGGTTTTCAGGGTGCCCAATCCGGTAGGGAGGCTGACAGGAAGTGAGCAAATATGTTTACCACATGGCTGTGAAGATGCCATGGGGCAGGGCTGGGGCTGGGAACCATGGGGTTCAGGACAATAAGGAAAGTCAGGTCACGCATCTACAGGATTCCTCCCAGTGACCCTGCAGTCACACAACCTGGCTAACTTCACCTGCAGGGATGGTTCTAGATATAATTTTTGGAGCATTGGTTGTGCCACGGGGTAAGAAATCAGCATGGCAGAGATACCTTCTGGGAGCCTCAAACCCCAGTGTCTCAAATAGGGCCTACGGGCTGATTGTGGCCACTCTGAGATCTTCACAGATGGGAGGACACAAAAGTCAGGGGCAAGGGGGCCTGACTTTTGGGTAACTGATTAATTCAGGTGGCATTTGATAGAGCTGCATCATTAGTAATTTATAAAATTGGTAATTTAATTAGTAATTTTATGATTCTAATAAAATCGTATTTTTGTCTGCAATTCTTTTTGGGGGGATATAAATGAAGTTTGTTAAAAGTTAGGGAAGGGAAATATAAAGGGAAGCATGGTGAGGCCCTGGTGGAAACCGGAAGCCGAGACAGCTTTTCTGTTCTTCAGGTGCTTTTAAAACCTATGATGACCTATGGGAAGGGGAGAAGGAGATTCCAAGCCAATCAAGGACCAGGGAGGGGAATGGGTGGTTCCCAGCCAGGTGAGGGCGGTTCCTGAGCCAAAGCATGGTTAATCTAAGATGTAATTTTTTTTATGAGTCCCTAATTTAGACTACCTCAAATTCCCCCTGAGAGGCAATATTCCAAAAAATTCTTTTATTGGGTTGCTAAAGCGGGGGTGGGGTACATTTTCAGTATCTGCTTCAAGCTGACAAGGGGCAGCAGACCCTACCTACAAGGGGAAATTGTCTCTCCTATTTTTTCCCTTAGGACTCACTGGGACAGAAGGTGTCTGAATTATTGTTTATTTCAATTAAACTTCCTCCTGGAGCTCTGGGTTGCTCATGGAGATCTCATTTCTTTGTAGAGGTCGATGGCCCTGTTGCTTCATGATTTGGGTCCTAAAGGCTTTCATTCCTTTTAACTCCTTGGCTGTTGTCTGCCATTCATGGAAAATAGGTGTGAATAAATTCTCCTGTCTGAGTGTGTCACACCTGGTCCTTATATGTCATTTGCCTTCACTGTCAAGAGTGGGGCAGGGAGGTAGCCAACAGGCTCACGTGGGGCGCTGGGACTCAATATGGAGACTGGGCTTCACTTGGGGGTGCCTCACTGACGGGGGCCTTTGGGGTTGGACTCAGTTCATTTCCTGGTTCTCAGCACTCTTTCCTCTTTCATCCCTTGTCCTACAGAACGATTCGACAGAGAAATAAAAGGAAATGGGAGTATGTACAATGCAATGGAGAAAACAAATAAGGTGCGGTCCAGAGTGTTATGGGGGAGATGCTGGCTTGCTCAGCTGGGGAGGACTAGTTCTGCTGTGGGCTCCAGGAACTGGGAGAGTACTATGTTTCCAAATTGTCTAGGGGATAACCGCAGAACAATAACAATGATGATGATGATGTTGATGATAACAATGATATCTAACATGGCTGAGCTCTTTCTGTGGGCCAGGAGTGTCTGAAAACCCTCAACATCACTAACTATCCAGCAGCTTGGAGCAGCTCTGAGGTGATGTCATCATCATTCTGTTTTACAAAGGAGGGAACAGAGGCTCCAAGAGGCTAAATGAACTCTAGGGTCAGTCAGGAAGGGGGGGAGTCAGAACTCATTCCCATTCTGTCATGTTCTAAGGCTCACATTTCCCTGCCCTGCCTGCCCACCCCAGACCAGTTCCTCAGAAGCAACGGCCTCCCACACTTTCTATAAGAATCTCCTTAGGTCCAAAGAATTTAATCAGTAATAACTGTCTTATTAACTCACTTCCCATATGCTCACTTCATGGACTCAGCTTAATAGGATAAAAGTTTCTATTAAGGACAAAGGGTTGTTATCCTCAGCTAGGCCAGGGCAAGAATTCCACTAGATGCCCTGGTTCTGGAGCTGATAACCAAAACAGTTATTGCTTCCCTGAACTTTTAAACTTTGTTCTCAAACCCCCCTCCTAACCTGGTCCCTTTCTAATTAGTCAACCGTGAAGACTGTAAGCCCAAAACCTACCCAATCCAGGGACAGAAGAGGGACAGAATAGCATCAGATAAAACCCCTGTGGACCTCCCACCTGGTGTGCATGCCTACCAGACTTCTTGGTGTGCACCCTTCTGCAGAAGTAAATTTTGCCTTGCCTATTGATTTCTGAGTAGTGTAGTGTCTCTCTCGTGATACCCCAATATCTTAAAGATATTTCTAATAGCGTGGGGGCTCGTCTGGGATTCTCACATCACCCATGGGGCTGTGGAGACTCCCTCCTCAGGGGAGAACTGTCCTGCTGCCTTGTTGCAGCAGCCTCAGGGCTGGGGGAATTCACTATCTCTGTGGCAATGCTGGGAAAGGGGGTTGGCCCAAGCAAGCACCGAGGTGGACCTGATAACTCTGTGCATGGGACCAAGGTAGGAAAGTCAAGTACTGCCTTGGTGGTTGGGACATCCTGGAGAGAGGCTGTGTGGGTGTGACTGGAACTTGTCCCAGACACAAAACATGTGGCAACTCCAGATTCCTAACCCCATTAGCCCATGAGGGAATTGGTGGAAGAAGGAGGAAGCAGTTTGGGTACAGTATAAGAAATCCCCATCACAGGACATTGAATATTTTCCTGAGGAGCCAGGATTTCAGGATGGGAAATAAAAACTCAGTTTTAGGAAAGACTCCCAAGAAAGTACACTCATCTTCTATTCCTCCAGATAACCCTCTCAGTCTCATTATTACTATATTGGGCAGAAAATCTTAGGATGAAAGATAAAAAGAAACAAAAAATGATTAAATATCGTTCTTTCATTTGGACACAGGAGCCAAACTTAAGACTGTCTGTTTTCTGGCCAAAATTTAGCTCCAATGAAAACTGGGTCTGCCAAGTACTCATAGAATATGAAACTGATAAAAGCCCAGTAAGCCAGGAAGAAATAAATTATGCCCTCTGCTGGTGGAGGGGACCTATGACTTTGTTTCTGCTTAAAATGCCCAAGACTGAAAACTCTAAATCAGAAGAGAAAGAAAGCAAATGGGAGCCCCTTGATTGCCTTCCTCCCCATTATGGACGCAAGGGCTCTGCCCCTGAACCTTCTCCATCCAGGAGGCCAGGGAGCCTATAGGCAAATTCACCCAGGGAGGGAAAAGAGATAGAAAATGAGGGCCCTTGTGGAGCAGCAGCAGCCTAGGCCCTCCCTTACTAGGCACTTCCTTCTCCAGACTGTGAAGGGAATTGAAGCAATGTAAATAGGATATTCAAAACCTTCCTCCCTGCCCCCCCCACCATGAAAAATAATCCCAGACCCTATACCCTCTCTGAGAGGTTCTCTTAGGGGGTGGGGGAATTGGGTTTATTAAGGTTCCTCTCACTGGCTTGAAGGTAAAATATTTAAAAAGAAAATTAAGGTCTCTGCTAGAAGAGCCACATGGGGTAGTAGATCAACTTGACCAATTTCTTGACCCACAGGTTTACACACGGGCTGTACTAATGTTCATTCTAAGTGTCTTGTTCTCCAGGGAGGAAAA